AGGGACAACTAGACTGATGGGAAAAATATATTGAAAAACTGGTGTTTGTGATCTTGGCATATTATTGAACTATGCATCTCATGTTGTGCAGGTGAAGACGTACTGGCTAATAATGCCGTTTGGTCATAATGCCTTACGTTATAGGTGTTCATCTATAATGAGAATTAAATATTTGCCTAGAAGAATAAAAATGATCTCTGGATAATCAAAATCATCATTATCTAATTGAGTGCCATCAAAAAGAACTTTCTGGAATACTGAAAATGTTCTTTTTTGGCACTCTCCAATACAGCTACAATTAAAATGTATCTTATTGCAACTGAAAAACTAAATATTAAATTTTGTTTAATTTAAATAAACTTAAGTTTAAATATCCTCATATGACTAGTGGCTACCATACTGAACAGCACAGATACGAGTAGCTGAATCACCCGTTATACACGGTAGATCTCAAGACAAATTATATAAATAACATCATGTGGAGAACATTCTTTAATAAAAGGTTTTATTTTTCTACACCTAATTCATCTCTGGAAAATAATCTGAAATCTAATGAGGATGTTTATTAAAAAGTAGAGTTTTCTATTTATATTTGGTATGCAACATAGTTAACTGGGATCATCTTCCAGCTGCAAGTTTTTGAAAAGCTATATTCATCCATCTACATTTTTCTCTTTTAGATCAATAGAAAGATACTAGTAGTCCAGGCTAATTTGTACTTTCTCTTGGTTAAACTAATTTTCTAAGCAGCATTTCCTAATAAAATTTGAATCAACTGAATGATTTCCAGACATAGGCATACCCTAAAATGAAATAATATATAAACCTAAGAAAAAATGATTGTTCAAAAGAAATTTAAAAACTTAGTGGATTACAAGTAATACTGATTTAATAGGGAAAAAAATCTTCTGACACCAACCTTTTTGATAATTAGTCATTTTAAATATTCATACTTAGAGAAAAACAAAAACAAAAAGCAGTTTAATATCAAATTTCTATATACATTCATCAATAAAATGATATTTCACTCTCCTCTTTTCATTTTCATGTACACAGAAAGTAGGTGAACATTTAACTGCCAATCACTTCCCCTTCACTAGTCCATCCCTAAGACAGGGTGTAATTGCATGAAGTGATAGTACAACAAAATAATGCAGTTATGACAGACCTAAAGAAACTCATAAATCATTCCATTCAACTCCCACAGTCGCTTTACAGATACTGTAGGTACAGAGAAAAAAATAAGTTACTGGTTAGGGTTCCAGATCGGCCAGAACCCAAGTCTCCTTATTTTCAAGGCAGAAATATGCCCACAGCACTAGGCTACATCTATCACTTTAGGATAAACAAAGGTTGCATGGATCTTTTTAGTAGTTTTAACTGGAGAACCAAAAAGGACAACTATAGGTCTGAAAGAGTGAGGGGGGGTGGAGTGGCAATACCTAACTTCAACTACTACTAATAAAAATCCAAATCTTAAACAGTATTTTCAACAGTGCAATTGGCCTCTTTAAAGAGTCACAAAATGTTTCCATAGCTTTTTCATTTATTATGTGTGGCATCAGAATCAAGTTTCCCAATCCTGCTACAAAGATTCTAGAATCTTCTCCCAAGCAAAGGAAAAGACACTCTTTTCCCCCATCTCCTTTCCAAGGAGGTGCTCTCCTGGGGCCACCACAATGTTCCTCCCCAGTCCAATTCTTCTGGGGAGGTACTCTGTGGGTATTGACAAAGCTGATCCCAACACTTCCTGAGCCATAGGCCATACTAGGGATCCCAGCTTCTCCCCTTCAATCTTCTTACTATTTCTTTTTCCCTTAGAAAGGTGTATTAAATTGTTTTTATTTCGTCTTTTGTACTCTATTAACCAGTAGTTAATTTTAGATTCTAAGAATAAAATGTTATATAAGAACTATGTGTTATTCTAATACTTTGATTTAGACATGTATAAACACATACACATATATGTACATATACATATGTATATACACACATATATACATAATCTATCTAGACGCTAAGCTGGAGGGGGTTAGCAGGAGCAATACATGTGAATGTTTTCTGGTGATTCTCTTCTCCAAAAGACAGTATGATTCCCAAATACCAGGTGTGGTAGTATCTGATAAAATATCTAGAGGAGCACATAAAATGAAGCAAGGCAGAAAATGCACCATAGGAGAAATAAATGCTAAGAATTTAACACTTCATTAGACAACTGGAAAGTACAAGGCCAGTATGCTTAGTAGTCAGAAATGTTGCCACCTCCAAGAAAACAAAGGATTAGCCGACATGCAGTGGAAGGATGCCAACAAGAAACTTGTTAATCAGTGGCTGATCTCATCTTCACTAGAAAATCTGCTGGAGAGGCATAATATAACACCGCTTGTAAACCCTGATGTCTGTCAAAAGTGCCCCAAGGTCCTCCTCTCTAGCTCAACCACTGCCCCTCATTTAAAAAAATAAAATTACCTTTAATGATAGGGTTTAACAAGCTGCCATTCTTTTTTTCTGTTATGAAAACCTCAACAGCAAAGAATTTTTATTTTCATTTTTTTTAAAGATCTCCATTCTGTATTTGTTTTAAATCTCATGTGACCAGTTATTTTCATCCAAATCGCCAAGCAGGTATATATACTCTGCTTAACCGTAAACCTCCTTGTTTCTTAGCAGAGGCTTATCGCCATGGTCTAACTATTTGTTAAATTAAGCCACAGCCATCACATGCCAAGCTCTAGCTACTGTTTTCATGAGGAAAGGGCAATTATTCACCCCATCTGAGTGTGACTGTGTCAGACATCATTCAAGAGGGCACCACCCTGATCCCTGGACTCTTCCCCTTTATGCACCCAGTTCAGAGACCCTCCCTCGGCCATTAGACCATCTGAGCTAAATATAGATCTACACACACAGTTCCTGATCATCATCACATGGTGCTGCTGACGAAGGACTCCTTGGAGACGCGTTCGACCCAAACATACACAAAATTTGTGTGCATATTCAGCTATATACACCATATCCACCGAATTAATCAGGGATGATGGACACATCTACGTTCCGAAGAAAAAATCGCTGTCTAGACAATCTCCTCGTGCAATCTGCCACACTTGTGCACCCTCGGCAGTGTCAGAGGACTAAGCTACGCTGCTTTTGCCTGAACTGCGCCGATCTGGCTGGGGCAAGACAGCAAGCAGTACTCAAATGTGTGTGTCCATACACACACACAAAGGCCCGCGCACCCCAGCCCCCGTCTCGCCCTTTTCCCTGGTGCAGCACTGAAGTTGTTTTCACAGCTCCCCTAGAAAGAGCCCCTCCTCAAGTTGAACTCCCGGGAGGCTCCCAGATACCTCTAGCTTCTTAGTGTTCCCCGACAGGTGACTCGAGACTACTCCACTGAGCTCTGGCAAAAGCAAGGCGACTCCGGGTCTCCCAAGTTTGCCAGGTGAACACCGAGGGATGACAGCACATCGCCTCGTCGGAGGGGAGTATGTGGCTTCTGTTCCCGTGTCCCTCCCTAAAAGTCAGACTTTAGATTATATGACACTGACAACAAAAATAAACAGCTCCCCTACACACACACACACGCACACAAAACTAGTCAAGAAGTGACATAGACACCAAGGAAAGAAGGGATGAAAAAAATGACGGACGCCGACTACAACTCAAGACAAATCCTCAAAAACCACGGATCTCGAGACAGAAGGCCTGGCTGCGGGATCGGGGAGAAAGAGGCACGGCACAACCCGACCCGCCCGTCCCCGCCCGGGTCCCAGTGGCTCGGCCTCGCACCTGTTGGGGCTGCGACGGTCCGGGGAGTCCGCAGCGGCCGGCAGGGGCCCTCTTCCCCCGGTCCCGGGCTGTAGCCGGGCTCCTGGCACCGGCGTTCGCGCTCCCTCGCCTCGGGATCTCCGGCGGCCTCGGAGCGCACCTAGCAGCCGGTGCAGTCTCAGAGCCCCGCTCGTTCCCCGCGCGGCCGCGGGGTCTCCGGGGAGAGCGCAGCGCGCAGCAGGGTCCCGAGTTCCCGCAGGGTCCCGAGTTCCCGCCGCCGGGCTGTGGTTCCCCCCGCCGGGAGAACAACCCAGCCCGTGTACAGCCTACCCGCAGGTGGACTCCGGATCCTCCGCCTCCCGGCTGCTTCCCGCGGGCCCACAAATGCGACCAAAGGACACGGAAGGAAAGCGCGCGGGAAGAAGAAAAACAAAATCTGCCTAACCAGTCGGGTTCCTTGTTTATACCGAAACTACGGCCGCCGCGGCCGCGCACGCCCCCTGCGCTCGGGCACCGCCTCCTGCCGCCAGCCCCGCCCCCCAGGCAAGCGCGGGCCAATCACCGCGCAGCTCACCGCCCACGCTGCCACCGCCCGGGCCCGGCTGGCAAGTCCCGGTGGGCCTGGGACTCCCGCAGCGCATCGGTCCGGGCGCCCTCCCACGCAGGGTTTTTAGTGGCGCTGGTTGGGCAGGCTCCGAGTGTACACGTTTCCTCCGGAGTGCACCTGCCTGCCGGCGGCTGTTGTGCAGTCGTGAGTGTGCGTGTGTGTATGTTCGTGTTCATTCACGTGTATGCTATCTGTAAATACCGGCCCGACTCGTTACACAGTATCTGTTAACATAACTGTGAGCTAAAAGGTTACTGTTCATGTAACTTTCAGAAGAGAGCGGAGAGGAACCATAGAACATTTACTTAGCAAATACCACTTAGATCCTGGTGCTAAGCACTGTGCAAAACGCTGGAGGCACACTGTTGGCAAAGTTGGCTGGTCTCTGCCATCGTGAAGCTTACGTAGTCTAGTGGAGGACATACATTCAGCAAATAATCACCCAAACAAAATGTGAAATTACGGCCCCTAGAAGTTGCACGGAGAGGAGCTTGTTCCCTGAAACATGATTCCGGAGGCAAGGCTGGAAGGCTAGTCCTCAATGAGGGCTGTGTTGTCATGGTAACCACGTACTCATTCCAGAACGGGATACTTGATAACTATTTAAAAAAAAAAAAAAATGTAAACACCTCAGTACTTCACTTTGTACATAAAGGAGGCCAGAGGGTAGTAATGATAGAAACACAGGAAGAAAGAGACCTATGGAAAGAAAAAAATTACAGAATTAAAAGACTAACAACTATATGTCCTTGAGTAAGTGATTAAGCTTTTCTGAGCTTCGGTTTTCTCCTATGTAAAACAACACTATTCATACCTGTCCTATACTGCTATAATTAAGATTACTGACAGAGGAGGAATCATTTCCCTCCTGCTCCATGGGACCCTCCCACTCTCCTTCCTGGGGTGGAGTCGCCTCGAAGCACATTTTGTTTATTCTTAGTTAATTCCTCCTTCATTTCCTTCATTTATGCCTCCTTTTACTTTTCTTCCTCTTTAACATGCTCCTTCCCTCCCTTCTGTAAATATGACTCCCCTGATTCAGTAATTAACTCTAACCTAGCTGAGCCTTTGATTTAACCATCACTTCTCTGCAGTTTAAATGAGAAGCCATAAAGCTAAGGGAGCTTGGTGGACCAGCCATGCAGAGTGAAACACAGAGGCTGGGTGGCCCTGCCCTGCTGTTGTGGTTGTGCTGCTTGGTTGATTTTTGAAGCTTAGTTTTCCCTGATTTTGTAACAAACGAGCCATATGACATTGGGCCAGTCACTTATGCTCTTGACATTACTTGTCCTGTAGCAAGAAATTAAGAGTTGGACAAAATCAGGATTTCTTAACGGAAATATCTGACATATCCTTTGTAACCTCTGGATATGCACACTAGACCAGAAAATTTTGCCCAGTTTTACTTTCTAAAGTATCCCCCAACAAAGATGTTTAGATTCTTAAGATGCAAAATGGATACCATGATAATATTAATGCATTGCTTTCCAAATAGCATTTCTACTCCCTATTCTGGCAGATCCCTCTGGGTTCCTTCTAGCTTACTGTATGCCAAGTATTAATTAAGGAGACAGTTCTGGAGCCAGGCATCTTGAACCCTAATCCTATCTCTCTTACAGAGCCACCTATAAAGCCTTAGAAAAGGCACTGAAGGACTCTGGACCAGTTTACTCATCTGAAAAATAGCATCATGGTTAATCAAAGTAACTTTTTCATAGGATGTTGAGAAGACTAAAATAAATCCTGTTAGCAGGGAGCTATTTTTTATTTGCATTATCATCAATCCTCACCAAAACTCTGAGAGATAAGTACTATTATTTCCATTTCTGAGATGAAGTAATGAGGCTTGGGAAGGTGAGTCACTGACCAAGGCCAGTCATCTGGAAAGGCCATGAATTAAACCTATATATCTCTGATTTAATCCTCCTGCCTTCCCAATTCATAAAATTCATTCAATTACTGTGGAACTTATGAAATAGTGTTTAAAACTACTAGATATATGTATTTAAATTAAACTAGAAGCCTGTTATTTTTTTGCAAAGCAATAGTACTTGTCTTAAAGACACAAGTTTACTTTTCTTCATAGACATGAGTTTATCACTATTATTTGTAGTTTATGGAATGCTTGAACCTTCCATGAAAATCTCACAAAGTACTATTGTCTTCAAATATTTAAAATTTATCATTTTAAAGAAGAATGAGGCACCAGAGCACCAGATCCGATTTAAAAGGGAACGGTATAAGGGAATGGATTGTGGCTTCAGTGTAAGGAAAACATTAAAAATGTCCAAAGCAGAATGGTATCCTTTTTCAGGATTAAATTCCTGCTCTCTGCATATTAAAGGGCATTGTGAAATGGCCATGTAACTCCCAAAAACACTGAGATGGGCAGTTCAAGCCTCATATTGTAAATGGAAGAAAACAAAAGATGACAAAAGATTATGGGGTCTTAGGCCAATTAGACCAATCCAGCTACACACTTTAGAGAAAATCCCTTACTTTCCCCTTGCTATTTAAGTACGCTTTTCCTTGACTTCCCTTTCCTCATCATCTGAGGGCCTAGAGAAAAAGGGGAAGGAGGCTGCTTGGTGTGTTTTGGTTTCATGCCCTCTTCCTGCTGCTAGCGTAAGTAAAAGGAAGGCTGTCCGTGGGTCAGACTTTTTGGTTTCTTCTGAATGAGTTGGTCTTATAATGAATTAAGAACAGGTTTTCTAACTCAGATTCTTACAGCCTTTAATATTAAGTCTGATTATTTTACTAAAAGATCCCCTTAGTTTTGACTAATTGTCAATCTATGTCTAGCATATTGAGTAGGAAGGGACAAGGGAGAAAATGCACTGCACTTCAGCCTAGTGACAGAGTGAGACTCCGTCTCAAAAATAAATAAATAAATAATAAAATAAAATGACCTCTGATACTTACAAGGAATTCCTGTGATGAAACAAATGACTGGGTCAGCCTTTGAATGGTCATTTCAATAATAATTTCCAACATTTGTTATAGTTTACAGTGTTCTTTCACATCCATTATCTTATTTAGGAAGAACATTATCTTATTTAGGTCTGTGAGGGTCATTCAATTCTGACAGTGGTCATTATAGAAGACATATACTTTTCTCTTCTGGGATCACTAAAAATATTATAGATAGCCATCATTTAAACTTGCTAAGAAGCCACTCCTCAACAGAAGAGAACTGGCTAAAAAAGATAACTTCAGGAGGTCTAGTTCACATATCCAAGTGATTCATCACTGCCACTTTTTATCTCCCAGGTCCTAAAGTTGTATGAAAGAATGTAACAACCACATGGAAAATCCCACAACAGACAGTAGGTTTTCAAGTCTCCTAATAAGATGTAAAAAACTACTCTATCTTTATTTATAGACAAAAACTGTTGAAGGCAACTTTACTATTTTTTCTTTAATAAGCATCATTATTTTGCTCATTTGCCAATACTTATTTTCTCTTACAAAGTAATTATTTGTAACACCCTCAGGAAGGTTATTGATAATGAGAAGTAACATAACTTGGCCTGATCACAAGGTCATGAGACAGTTATCCTCTTCACTGATTATATAATACATAGTAAATTATCTTCTCTGTACTGACAAAGAAATGTTTAATGATCTTAAACATGCATCATTTTGATTAGATATGTTACTGTTTTATGTAGAAATTCAAATATGTTTAACACGAATCTATTTAGATAAATATTCATCCTAAACATCTTTACAGTAAATATGCATATTTCTCTGTGTGTAATTTCTCTCTCTAGCAGTTTTTGGATTCTGAATGAGTTGGTCTTATAATGAATTAATAATAGGTTTTCCTAAGTCAGATTCTTGTAGCCTTTAATGTTAACTCTGATTATTTTGCTAGAAGATCCCCTTGGTTTTAACTAATTGCCTATCTATGTCTAGCACATTGTGTAGGAAGTAACAAGGGAGAAAATGAGTAATAGAATAATAAAAATTTAGAGCTGGGAAAGTACTATTGATCATCTCTTTTAATGTTTCCCCATCCCTGTGCCACCAACCAAGGGATTTTTGAATGAGGAGTCTGAGTCCCAGAGAGATTATATGATCTCTCCTAGGCCAACAAGATAATAGCAAAGTTATGCTAGTCAAAGAGCACAGATAATCCCAGGACTTTGAATGCTACATGATTTTACTTCCTAATTATTTCTGCAGGGGTAGATCTATAGAGCTACTTTCACAGTATAGAAGTATAATTTGTTTTCAAATATTGATCACAACTATTCTCTATTAAATATATTTTGATACAATAAATTCTCTAGATATTACATTTTATTAGAATGTTCTAAATGTTGCTAATGCCATTTGTTATCTTATTTAATATTCAAGGTAGTAAAATAGTAAGCTCTTTAGTGGCTTTTTCATTAAAGTAACCACACTCTAGACTATGAATTAGACTTTATAAAGTAAATTCAAAAAATATGTCAATCAAAAAAGCTTCTCTAATTAGCATTTATTATTGTCACCAGGAAAGCATATGCCTAAGATATTTTCTATTTTGTATAACAAAATAATTTTCACAAGACCATTAGAGCATTTCCCTAAAGTCTTCGTATGATTTCTAAATGATTCTATGAAGTTTAAACTTGTAAAATGTCTAAACATTCATTTTGACACACAGATTATTTCAGTAGTAAAGCCCGAATTTTTGTACAATATATTTAGGCATTGTTATAGAAAAGCATAATGCTAAATCTATTTTCTACACAAAAATAAAAGGAACATTATGTAATTTAATTGTATTTCACTAGAGAGAGAGCATGGCTATCTCTGGGAATGGCAATGGAACTTCAATTTTACCTGTAGTATTTGATTTCTTTCCTAAAGAACAACATAAAGCTGATACGACAAAATGTTCATTATTATCTTTTGTGCATCATAGGTAGATGGGTATTTATACTTTTTTATTTTGTAAATTTCTTTAAAAAATTAAAGAATTTTATAACAACAGTTGGATATTTTAATGTACCTATACTATATAACCTTAAACTTCTATATTTAAAACTTACATTTTAAGGTAATATATACTGATAATGTTATTGCTTTGCCTTTTTCTTCTCATTGATTGATCACATAAAGCACAACTGTCAATCAACAGTCCAGAGAATTTTATTTGGCCTTGCTGTACAAAATTATACTCTGTGATATAAAGTTTGTTAAAGCATGTTGTATATCTCACATAGCCTATCAGATTAGCCCCCTCCTGCTTTTTGATGTGATTGTGTGTGTCACCTCTGAAACAGGTGTACACTGTAACACATGGTTAACACACAAATGAGCTTTGATTCGTGACTTAAACCTGCTTTAAAGTCAAATCTCCCACAGACTAACACCATTAGCACATGATTAATGTTTCCAGGACCTGGATTTAACCAGTGATAATTTTAGAAACTACAGTTATCCACATAATTGTCTCCAATTAGCTGTCTCTGAAGAGTGGTCAAGAACCAAAGTGAAATGGAGGTTGAATGTAAGGATATGTCTTCCTATTAGGGGGATGATGCATTTACTTTAGGTCTTTCATGACAGTCAAGGAGTGTGTTTGGAATGTATTTGGGAGAGGAGACGTGATGGAAGAATATGACTGTTGCTTAAAGTGGAGTTTGGAAAGTGTTGAAGGGATGAGGCATTTTCTGACCTAGACTACTGCTCAATAATTTGACTTACGAGAGTCAAAGGAAGTATGTCAGGAAATAAGTCTAAGAAAGACTAAGGTTTGAATTTAACACCTCTCACAGTAAGAAATTCATAGCCAAGAGCAAAATAAAATCTCTTAATCTGGGTAAGATTCCACAGACAAATAAAACATGTGACTTTAGTCTGTTTGTTATTTCTTTAAGAACTCACAACAAACTCTTCTGTGTCCTGCCTTCTTAAGTTAAAAAGTCAAACACCAGCTGTTTACAAAAGGCAGTCATGAACCCAAATGCCTAAATTCCAAAATGCTAAGAAGTTTTATTTTTCTCCAAATAGCAGAACTAAGACATACTCTTTGAAAACATCACTAAATAGATACAATTTTGGTTAGTCCTATTCTTGCTCTTGCATTGAGGCTAATGGCAGATATATTGCCATCTTTTGATTCAGAACACACAACAACAACAACAAAATGAACATGAATTTTGTTCTGTGTCTTTACAATGGTGAGAAAAAAAGCATATATCCTGCCATAACAAACCCTTCAAAGTTTATCGCAATGACAAACCTGAGGCATATCTCACCTGACAAGGTACCTAGTAGACTTCATACATGAATACGGGAGTTTTGGGATCCTTTCTTAATTATTTTTTTCCTTCCTTCCATCCTTTTTCTTCTAAGATCAGCAAACTACATAGCAGTAGAAATTTTTCACTTCAAATTTAACAGTAACAACTCATGCTTCAAGGGGGGAATGTTTGAACCTGTTAAACAATTATTTTAGGAAGAAACAACCAGCATATCGAAATGAGTCATTTGCACAAAGGCTGGCAGAACTCATTCCAGAGCACACAGGAGGAGGGAGGAAATGCAAAACAGGACAACCTGTTGAGAGCAAACAGTGGAAGAGACTCCTTGTCTCACCTGGGGAGCAAGAACCTTTGGCCGACATTTCAAAGAGACTCTAGTCAGTGTAGAAACAAATACAGGAACCTGTCATACTGGCTTTGCTGTGGGAGAAGCTAACATTTCAGATTCTTGGTGTTCTCAACTGTAAAATGAGGGGATTAGGCTGGATCCTTCTGG